CCCCTTCCTGAGGCCTGAGCCCGCGAGGGGCAGCGGCGCAAAGCTTCCCGCTGGAGACGCCGGGCAACCTGCTCCGCGCTGGGAGGCTGCCCGGGTCCAGGAGGAGATGAAGAGACTCCGGATGGAGGGCACCCGCACCCTCCTGGGCTATGCATGTCCCTCTGTCTTCTGGGCGGATGCCTTTTCCATTCCTACTGCCCTCACTCTCTTGCTGTCCTGCCTGGCGCTGGCCAGCCCCAACAACTCCCATTGGCCTTCGCCCCCCACGCACCAGCCCTCTGCCAACCCCCTGGAACCCAGCCTCCAGGGAGCAGGAGAGGACAGCCAAGGAGAGCCCCCAGGCACCAGCTCAGAACCATCTGGCAAATGGTTCCCCAGAGTCATACCTGGCAATCCTCCTCCTGGGCACCTCAGGGCCCCCCAGAGCTGACTCCATCTCCTTTTGGTCTCCACTTTGCACTTTCTCTGACAGGCTGGTCTGTTTTCAGGGGGGAGCACACCTGTGGGCACAGCTGTAACTTGTCGGCCTCATGTAGTCATTCCCTCCCAGTTCCCTTTGCAAGGAGTGCCCTCACCCCCTCTCACCAACCTATGCCCTGGGTCTCTGGCTCCCTGCACACACAGCCCAGCTGCCTCCAGCCTGCTACCTCCCCTGTCCTTAGCCTCCCACAGCCTCTGTCCCCAGTGTGGGTAAGCCACTCTCCCACGAACTGGTCCCATGCCTAGTGGTGTGCGTGCTTGACCTGATGCACCTGTCCAATCCCCCACCTACGCCGGAAGCCCTGAGGAGCAGAACGCTAGAGGCAGTGCCAACACAGCCTTGGGGTCACACAGACCTCACCTCAAATGCCAGGTCTGCCTCTACTAGCTGTGTGACCTTGGGCAATTTCCTCAGCTCCTCCAGGCCTCAGTTTCCCCATCTGTAAAACGGGACAGTGCATAGTTGTACAGATTGTCCTCCCATATAAAGCTGCCTACACACAGTCTCCTCAGAGGACAGGCTGGGTTTTTGTTTGGTTCACTGTTCCATTCCCAGAGCCTAGCACAGCAGTCATCCTTCCCAGTAGGGCATTGGATAAATATTTGAATGAATATTGTTTTGATGATTGAATGGATTCATCTGTTTTACACCTTTGGGTGCTCCTGACTTTGCCTTGGACAGTCTCTAGACCAGCCGTGGGCAAACTACGGCCCGCGGGCCGGATCCGGCCCGTTTGAAATGAATAAAACTAAAAAAAAAAAAGACCGTACCCTTTTATGTAATGATGTTTACTTTGAATTTATATTAGTTCACACAAACACTCCATCCATGCTTTTGTTCCGGCCCTCCGGTCCAGTTTAAGAACCCATTGTGGCCCTCGAGTCAAAAAGTTTGCCCACCCCTGCTCTAGACACATGGACAGGTTCACCTGCAGGATCTCTGCTCTGAGGGTTCTGCATTCACAAAACTCCCAAGACAAAGACAAAGTCGCAGGGCATGACCCCTGGAACAGAAGGGACTACGGCTCTGCTCCAAGCAACTCTATGCCTCTGGGCACCTCACCTCTCTAATGGGAGCAGCAGCCCCAGGGGCCCAAGGTCCTTTTTGGCTCTGGCCCCTCAGGTCCCCCTCCCCCCTTAGGCCTCTGACCCTCTCTTACCCTCCCCCATCGGGCCAGATCAAGGCACCTGAGTGGTCATCATCCATCAGGGATCTCCTGGAAGGAAGCCCAGGGGCCTAGGGTTGGTTTGCTGCCAAGGTTTCAGGTCCCCATCAAAGAGAGGGAGTGGATTTGGTTTCTGCCCCAGGTAAAGGCAGGCTCAACCCGATACCTTATTTGAGGGCATCAGGGAATGCAAAGGAGCTGGGACAGGGATCAGGAACAAGCGAGTGGGATCCCGGAGAATGCTCATGTTATGGGACAGGGTGGACCTGTCCACTGAGAACAGACCATGGTGAGGACTGGGCCGGCCAGAGTGGCTGCAGGAGGGCACACAGGTCTTGTTCTTCCAGCTGCTGTTTAACCACTACCGGGTCCAGCCCCACCCAGGCTCAAGGAACCAGCCAGGGCCAGGCCACAGCCCTGTCATTCACAGGCCTCACCCACCTGCCTTGACTCAACGGGTCCCACCACCGCTTCCCACCCACTAGGGTGGGGGCACTTTAAGCAACAGGCCTGGACGACAGGATTGCAGAAAGAATGTAAGAGGCCCAGCCCGGGACCGCCCTGCACAAGTCCTTGACCTCCTACGTGACCTTCCTTCTTCATAGGCCTCTGGACAAGGAATGCCCGGTTGACTCGGTGCAGACAGATGGCAACAGTCATGAACCTGACTTCAGCATTTTATAATGATGTGACCCAGACAACTGAATTTCTCTCCTCCTGGGGAGTCTAACCTGCCTGCTGGGGCTCACAGCAGATAGTGGGTACGTAGCACCTTACGCCCTGCTCAGCTCCCAGCACGGCCAGGAATGGTGCTTTCCTCCCCTGGCAGGGCAGCCGAGCCCAGACCGTGCCACCCATCACCCCACAGGAACCACCACGCCCTAGGACTCTGAAACCTTGGGCGAGAAGTCGCTTTGGCTAGCTGTGGCCCACCCCTCCCAGCTTCCCACCATCGATTGCTCAAAACCCCAAGCCAAGCCTGAAGAGGAAAGTAAACAGACACGCAGGGCTTTGGTGTGGAGTGGAGCGCACAGAAGGAAAACATTAGGAGCAGAGAGCAGTTAGACGTGTCATCCAGTCCAGCAACCCCACGCTGGCTCCAGAATCAAAACAGCCTGCACACAAGGCCACATCCAGCTCCCATCTCTGGTTTCTCCCCACAATCAGGCCCCACCCTGGTCCCTGTGACGTTGGTGTTCTCTCTCCCTCTCTGCCCTGCTAGTCAGACAGCTGCCTAGTCCTGGGGGCTGCTCAGTGCTGCCTGAGACCTGAGGCCCTAGATCTTAGAGATAATCATGATGCTTTTCCAGCCTCCCCTTCTCCCCCCCGCCCCCCCCCCACACACACACTCACATCCCACCTGATTCAGCACAGCCCCTGAAGAATGAATTCCCACAATCCAGCCCTCTCTCACCATCACCACCCAAAAGGAGTGCAAAGCAAGGTCCCCTTATCCACATTTATTTTACATTCTCTTCCAGAGGGGACCTGAGGGCTGGGGGGAGCTGGGGAGGCAGGAGGGCCCAACCTCTGAGGCCCGACCTTCTGGGCACTACAGTAGCAGGTCATATGCACAGCCCAGGCCCAGGGCTTGGCAGCTTTTGGGAAAAGGGGGCCTTCAGGTAAGACCTCTTGCCAGGCCCCAAGTGCTAAAGACGGGCTGCGCCCACCCCCACCCCACTCCCAGGCCCAGCTGGAAGCAGGAAGGCAAAGGGGGCAGCAGACCAGCTGGAGTGACAGGGGAGGAATCCCCTGCGGGCGGCCTTTGGTCTCTATGAGGTTAGGAAGCTGCTCCTTGTTAGAGGAACCCCATGGGGGTGAAGCTGGGAGCCAGTCCCTGTTAGAGGAAACGCCACAGCAGGGTGGGGGTGGGGGCCTCGGGGGTCTGGTCTCAATAAGGCCGGGAAACAGTCTCCACTTCAAAGCAGACCTCTGTATTTGGGGAACTGGGTAGGGGAGGAAATAAAAGGACTGTGAGAGGAATGCTTGTGAGCTGTGGGTGGGAGTCAGTCCAGGGGGCTTCGAGGGGGCTCCAAGGGAAAGGCTGTTGGGTTGTCTGCAGATGCCAGCAGCCAGGTCCTGGGGAGGAAGATGCGGGAAGGGGGTCCTCTCTCCCTCTGAGAAGAGCTACTGCTCTCCACTCCATCCTGGCCGGGCTCTGAGTTGCCATGGAGACCTCTCACACCGGAGCTACATAATTTCCAGGGAATGTCCCAAATTTCTGGGTCCTCCGGGAGACACCTGAAAGAGGAAAAGACAATGATCATTCCCACACTTGTTTTTAAAATAGGAAAGATGAGGGCCCTGTCCCCTGCTGGCAGTGGCCAGAACTGCAGGTGGAGTCCATGTCCCAGGGAGGGAGGAATTGTCTTCCCCATTCCTGCCTGCTAGTGGCAAAAGCTTAGGTAAGCAAAGCTACACTTGCTAAGTTCCATAATGACCCACCAATCTGAGCACTCAGCAACTGTGGATAACTGCACACAGCTCAGAGTAACTCCACCCTTCCTTGGGAAAGCAAGGAAGCAGGAGGGCGAATCATGGAACCTAAATCCGTGGGCATCTCATTGGTCTAGTATGAGACCCTCGTTTTAGAGAGGGGGCAAATGAGGCCTAAGAGGCCAAGTGAATTCCCCCAAAGCACTCAGCTGTTTAGGGGTAGAGGTGGACCTAAAATTCAGGCCTCTTGTCTACCACCCCCCGCCCCCAAAAACACACCTGTGTCCTGGGGTGGTGAAGGGGGAATGCTAGGAATACGAAATTAAAGTCCTGGGCCTTCCCTTCCTGGCCCGCTGGCATCCTGATTTCCTTCTGAGTAGCCCATGCCCACCTTGTACGCAGGCCTTGCTGATACTGTTCCCCTACCTGGAGGGCCTCTCTTTCCTGCTCTGCCACCCTTCAAGGCCCAGCTCCCACACATCCTCCAGGAAGCCTTCCCTGACTTGCACTGCCCACCATGATAAGTCACATGTGGCCACTGAACATTTAACCGGTGTTAGTGTGACTGAGAAATTGAACTTTCTAAACTTTTCCTCTAAAAGCACATGAGGCATACACCACAAAGGTGGTGCTTTTCTTCTTGTCTATATAAATTTGCAAAACGTCGATAGTTACAAAGACATTGAAAAGCAGACGTGTACAGAGTAAAATGAGAATGTGCCCCAAACACACCTCTCTGAGGTAAGGACATTAACAGGTTAGGACTTCAGAATCACTGGTATGGCTGAAGCCTGGTCACCAGTGAGGTGCTGGGGTTCCGGTGAGAAAGGATGGGCTGCCAGGTCAAGGGACTGCCCCTGAGGCCACCCCGGCCCAGGCAACCCCCCAACACTGCAGGCCTCGCAGCCTGCTGCACGGCACCCTGGCTGCTCACTGGTCTCTGAGGACGGCCCAGCCTCTGAAGCAGAGGCCTGGACAGGGCCTGCCCACTGGGGAAGCAGGCCACGTGAAACCTGCTGGTTGGTCACCTTGAACCAGGCCAAGGCCAGCTGGAGGCTTCCTGCTTTAGTCCTTTGCTGGAGCTGCCCTTGGAACCAGCTCTGAGGGCCGGGATCTCTCTCTCCTTTTGGTGGAAAGCGGCTGGGGAGCTAGCTACTAACCCGGGTGGGAGTAGGGGATACTCAGGTGTGAGACTTGGTCCAAGTCTGAACTGACTGACAGTGACCTGGGCCTCATCCCTCTTTGAGGGATGAAGGCAACAACAGAAGTGCTGGCTCTGGGGAATCAACCAGGCCAGAAGGTGTATGTGCTGGGTCAGGCCATGACTCTGTGCTGAACCAATATCCCCACCCCCCAGAGACCCTGAGATACCTGCTTCCAGCCTGCCCCCAGCCCATCCCTCCAGGACCCCGATACACCTGCTTCCAGCCTGCCCCCAGCCCATCCCTCCAGGACCCTGAGGTACACGTCCTTCTAGCCTACCCCCTAGCAAGCCCCCCAGCCACACATACCCACAAACCAGCCGTCGTCACACTGCTGCATGACATCCACCCGGTCCCCCTCCCGCAGCTCCAGCTCATCCTCGTTCTGGGGCCTATACTGGTATACTGCCCGGTACCTGCAGGAGACATTGTCATGGCAACCACCAGAGCCCTCACCCCTTCCAGAGACCAGACCCAGAGTCTAAACCCAAGTGTTGCCACATCCTATGACTTTTCCAGGGTTTCTCTGTGCTCCCGACAGCCTTGGCCCAGCTCCGGGAATGGCAGCTCTGCCTGGCTCTAGTGCATTCTTCTCCAGGCCTGCTCCCTGCCCTCCAAGCCCTAACCACCCAAACCCTGCCTCCTCGGCGCTCCCAGTGCCTTCAAGTCTGTTCTCCCAGTTCCCACACCTCCACGCAATGATCTCAGGGCTGGGAACTGAGGAGACTGGGGCTGGGGGCTGAGGGAGGAGGCCGCAGGGCTGACAGGGACAGGTCAGGAGCACTGTAGACAAGTAGCCCCACCTCGCCACCAAGTCACCCGGAAGCACAGCAAGAGCTAGTGCTACCTTATCAGGAGTTTCCCAGTTCCAGCCTGTCCCTAGCCCACCCCTCCAGGACCCTGATACACCTGCTTCCAGCCTGCCCCTAGCCCACCCCTCCAGGACCCTGACACACCTGCTTCCAGCCTGCCCCGAGCCCATCCCTCCAGGGCCCTGACACACCTGCTTCAGCTGGTTAGAGAGTTGTCCTAATATGCCAGGGTTGTGGGTTTGATCCCAGATCAGGGCACATACAAGAATCAATCAATGAATGCACAAATAAGTGGAACAACAAGTTGATGTATCAGGGTCCTGGAGGCTAAGGGGGTCGGTGTGCTCAGCACTGCCTGATGCAGCCCCCACCCCTGACCAAGCTCCCGCAGTCGGTACTCACGGGGTCCAGTTAATCTGAGTGGTGGTGTGGGAGGAGGTCCCCAGGTCCACAGCACGGCTGGAACCTCCAGGATGGGACAGAGAAGACCCAGGGGTGCTGAGATTCTGGGGTCCACAGGAGGAAAGGTGGGCAAAGGCAGCATGAGAGGGAAGAAGTGAAATGGCCCTCCTTCCCCAGGCAGCACTGCCCCCTCTGCTCATCTGATCCTGTCCCCACGGCACAGGGGGTCTGTGACATTTCACGTCCCAGGTGGGGCAGGTGGCTGGTTTCTGAACCCTGTGGACAGCGGGGAGGAGCCCGCCCGGCTGTGCCTGCTCACACTGGTTTGCTGAGTGAAGAGATGACTGCGGGAGCAAACGGGCTTGTTTGTGAGCCCTCGGGATGGGGACCAGTGACTCTCCTTAAGAATAAACTTGTAGTTCAAACCCACCCAGCTACCCTCTGTAGTGGGAATTATCATCCTCATCCGCAGGTGAGGAACATTCTACCAGTGAGAAGACCCACATCCAGAGACAGTAAGTGATATGCCCAAGTGTAGGGCACAGCCTCGGACTGACCTGTTGGCAAAGCCAAAACAAGTCCCAGCTTAGAGGGCACAGCCCTTTTAGCATAATTAGGCTTGACCTTATGACGCTCCCTAGATCTTCTCTGGGTAGCTAATGGGCTGAGGGAGGTGCAGCAAGTGCTGCCAAAACAAGTGAAACTCACAAGAACATTGTAACTATGGTGACCACTACCTTGTTTACCTCTGGCTATAAAATAAAGGCTCAGCTTGCCTCTGGATCTCTCTCTGTGGCCTCAGCCAGGCACAGGAAGATCCACCTAGACCCAGCTTATTCTCTCTGTCTGTCTTTTCTTCATCCTTCACTGCCCTCCCTCAGGCTTGCGAACCCTTGGCTGAGCTGGCCTGGCACACTCAAGGTCACAGCAGGGCCCAGCAGCCCACCCCCCAGGCTCCTGGCCCTGCCCTGTGCCCGAGGCTGAGAGGGACAAGTCACAAAAGTGGAGTCTGAAGGGTCAGGAGGCTTTGGGGCCCCACCGAGGGCCGGCTGCCTATCCTATTCTCCCTGCAGCTCGAGGGCCGGAACCAACTGGAGGGCTCATAGGTCCACAAGGCCAGGGTGGGGCTGCCATGCCAGGTTCTGCCCAGTCACCCACCCACCAGTCTGTCCGGGGGCGGTCTGAGCACAGGAATGGGGGGTACGGGGTAGGGAGCGGGGATCAGCTCTCCACCTGAAACAGGTCATCTTACCTGGGTTTGGGATTTGGGCTCCTGGGCCGGGAAGGAGAAGCCGGTGCGGCGGGGGGAGGTCCGGCCCCCCCAATCGGTGGGATCAGATGGACTGCGTGGTGTTACCGGGGAGCTGGGGTGACGGGCAGCCAGCCGGGCGGCGGTCATGCTGGGAGACGC